GAATAAATTCACTGGAGTCTCTTTTTTAAGGGCACTTATCCCAAGTTGGAGATTAGGGCTTCAACATATGCATTTTGAGGGAATACAATTCAGTTCATAAAATCCCACCTTTGCCTCCCCAATTTTATATAGTTTTTCACATGCAAAATTCATTCATTCTATCCCATCAGACCTAAGAAACTTAACTTGTTCCAGCATCAACTGTAACATTTAAGAACCAAAGTCTCATCTAAATATTATCTAAATCAGATATGGTTGAGAATCAAGGTATGATTTATCCTGAGGCAAAATTCCTCTCCAGCTAGAAACCTGTGAAACCAAATAAGTTATGTGCTTCCAAAATGTAATTGTGGAACAAATGTTAGACACTCCCATTCCAAAAAGGAGAAATCAGAAGGAAGAAAGGGCTGACAGGTCCCTAGCAAGTCCAAAATCTAACAAAGCAAATGCCACTGGACCTGAAGGCTCAAGAATAGTCCTCTTTGGCTTCATGTTCCATCTTCTAAAACCACTGCAGTGAAATTGCCACCTTAATGTCTCTGCCTGCCAGTCTTCACCCCACAGCTCTGCAGGGTGGTCCCATCTCTATAGCTTCAGGTGGAGGCCATCCAGCTTATTGAAACCAAGGCAGTGGCCATGATGATCTCTGATTCATCTTTAAGATTATTTATCCCTCTTTTTGAGACTAGCATGTGTTTGTATGTGAATAGCTCTATTATCATTTCCTGTCAAATCCAAGTCTGTCAGCTTTCCTTCATTTTATCCAGTTTCCATCCAGTTTAAACAGGCAGTGTTTCTTGCCCATACAATCCCATAAACTCTTTCTTGAGTGATAGATAGTTCAGCCATACCTTAATGCTGTTTTCAAAACAAGCTTTCTCATATTTACACTATGGACAGGCTGAGAATTTTCCAAATGTTCAAGTTATAGCTCATTTTTGCTTAACAATTCCTTCTTCACTCCATCTCTTTCTTCTCGCATTTTACTATAAGCAGTCAGGAGGAACCAAGCTGTTCTTGCAACACTTTGCTTAGAAATCTCTTCAATTAAGTACCCAATTTGATCACTCACAAGTTCTACCTTATACAAAACACTAGAACAAAGTTTAGCTAAGTTTTGCCACCTTATATCAATAATCACCTTTTTTTCAGTTTCCAATAACATGTTCTTTATTTTCATCCTGAGACCTCACCAGAATGATCATATTTCTAGCATGTATCTCAAAATTCTTCTAGTCTACCCATTTATATGTGTGTGTATTTATGTATATGTACATATATATACACATATACATAAATATACATATATAAATACAGATATATGCATATATATTTTATATATGTATATATATATACATGTATATTTATATATACATCTATATTTGTATATGTATAAATATATATGTATATATATGAAATATAATAGACTGAATGATTATAAGAAATTGGCTAATATGATTATGGAGGCTAAGTCCCTAGATTTGCATTTGGCAAGCTGGAGATTCAGGAGAGCCAATGTGTAGTTCCAGTACAAATTGGAAGGCTGGGAAAGACCAATGCCTCAGCTCAAGCAATCAAATCAGAGGAGTTTCCACTTAGACTTTTTGTTCTATTCAAGTGTTCAGTTGATTGAATGAGACCCACTCACTTTAGGAAATACAATCTGCTTTACTCAGTCTACCAATTCAGATGTTAATTTCATCCCTAAGACCCTCGCAGATACCCTAAAACAATGTTGGAACAAATGTCTAGGCACTCCATGGCTCAGTCAAGCTGACAAATAAAATTAACCATCACATACCTGATGCCTCATGTGACTGGTGACTGGACACTGTTGCACAGATTAGAAGTTTATAGTTTCTTTATATATTTATTTATACGATGTATAAAGAACTCATACAACTCAACAACAATAATAAGCAATCCAATTAAAAAATGGACAGAAAACCTGAGTAGTTACTTTTTTAAGGGAAACATACAGATGACCAACAGACATATGTAAAGATGCTCAACATCACCAGTTATGAGAGAAATGCAAATCAAAACCATAATGAAATTCTACTTCACACCTGCAAAAACGGCTTTTATCAATAAGACAAGAAATAACAAGTGTTGGTGAGGATATGGAGGAAAGGGAATCCTCTCATATTGTTGGTGGGAATGTAAATTAGTGCAGCCCCTACGGAAAACAGTATGGAGGTTCCTCAAACAATTAAGAATAGAACTACTATATGACCAAGGAATCCCTCTTCTGTGTATCTGCCCCCCAAATTCGAAAACATTTATTCATAAAGGTATACGTACTCCAAATTCATTGGGCTATTATTCACAATAGTTAAGATATGAAAACAACCTAGTAAATGTCCCTCAAAGGAAGACTGGATAAAGATGTGGTACATACATACAGTGGAATATCACTCAGCCATAAAAAGATAAAATATTGTCATTTGCAACAACAAGGATGAATCCTGAGAGTATTATACTAAATGAAATACCAGATGCAAAATGATAAGAACAACATGATTTCATTCATATGTAACAAACAAACAAAAAGAACAAACTCCTAGATACAGACTACAGAATAGAGGTTACCAAAGGGGAAGGGGGTGGGGAGAGAACCAAAAGGGTAAAGGGGGTCAAATGTATGGTGACAGAAGGACACTAGACTTCAGGTGGGTGACTGCACAATTGAGTATACAGATGTCATATTGTGAAGTTGTGCACATGAAATTTACATAATGTTAACCAATGTTACCCCAATAAATTTAACACAAAATAAATAAATGGAAAAAAAAAAAGGTCATAGTTTCTATTGAAGACATGAGAAAATCCAGAGCATGAGGCTTGTGGATTCTTCCTAATCTAATTGAATTACAGTAGTATCTTTCACTCAGCCTTATGATACTGGTTATTTGTTCCAATTCTAACCTTCATCAAATATTGTCATTTTCAACCTCATTCCCCAAAAGCTCAGCTTTGTCATTTCCCCTCACTATGTTCCTCTGGCCTGCTTAGAGCTGGCATCTGGTTAAGCCCATACTGGCCCTTCCTTGATGACAATTCTGCCTGTTAAGCCTGGACTTCAGGTGGTCACACTGTGGTATCAGCCTGTGTCGGCAGACTGTACATGGCCTTATCTGCCCACCTGCGAGAAAGGTTGAACAGTGTTGCATTGTTAGAAGATTTGACTATTTTATTGATCCTTTACTTTTTCTTCCTTGCATTATAGACATTGTCATATATTCATGTATTTCTTCAGCAACTATATTAAAGTGTTGCCATGTATAAAATGCCTTATAGAGAAGCACTTATTTTACTTAACAAGTATTTTTTCACTATGTACATTATTTGCAACCTTTTCCACCATTAATATAATTCTGTCTTTTAATATCTGTGAAGCCTCCTCCAAAGGAACACCTCAGTTGGATCATTATTTCTAAGATCTTACTTTCAGTTGTGAATGACAAGAAATTCTGTTTTATCAAGGACTGAGAATTCATCAGTCTCTCTGGGATAAATTCAAGCTAAGCAACCTGAAGGGACTAATGTATAAAATTAGAATTATAATTTATTCACTTAATGTAAAAAATCTCTTTCAAGTAGACTAAATGTCTGCATTTAATAGCATATTGTCTCACTGTGGAAAAGCTACATGAGTAGTCAAATTAAAATCTGAAAATTGGGGCCGGCTGAGTGGTGCGATGGTTA